ACATACATATGTAATATAGGTATATATCATAGTTGTTTCATTTTATTTATTTTTTAAATTAAATTTAAGCTGCAACTGCACGTGGCTTAGACTGCAACAGCTATAGCGGGCATTGAGTGTCTATGAGTGAGACAGCAACAGTTGCTAACAGTTGTCGCTCGCGCTGCTGCAACTGCTAACATTGCCATTTACATTACATTCTGTTCTTGGTTCTGTTAAGTTCTGTTCATTTCTGTTCATTCTGGTAAGAGAGCTTTCGTCTCATTTCGATTTGTTTAAGGTATTTTATGTGTTTGTGTGGGTGTGTGTTTCGTTTACTGTTCTGCTATTTATTATTTCTATACGTTTGAATTTGCTTTGACTTGTGTGTGTGTGTGTGTTTAATGTAGAAGCAAAGCAAATTTCTCCATGCAGCAGCATTCAAAATATCAACAGCTTCGTTTTACTTTTCCCCCCTTCAAAAAATTAGCATTTAACATTAACATTAAATATGATACGCCCCATACAGTATCCCTAGTATCCCCCGTATGCCCATATGTCCAAGCTGGGCTCCAACTCTCTCTCTCTCTCTCTCTCTCTCTCTCTCTATCTGTCCCTCTGTCTATCTCCGGCGTTTCGTCTCTGTGTCTGCGTGTGTGTTTCTGTTTCTTGTTTTGCTTCTCTTTCTGCTTTCGCTCGCTGTTTGCTGTTCCTCGTTTCTCGTTGATTATTGCACCACACAGCAACCCTTTTTCTTGTTCTTCTTCTCGTCGATGACCACGTGACTAGCCGAAGTTGGTCCCGGCACCACCTGCTTTGAGACTTGAGCCAGTGAAGTGACGCCATTATTGCTATCCCCCTTGCCAGCTACCGCTCCGCTTGCCACCCCATTGCCACCTGCTCCACCCACTCCAGTCGAGCCGACCACCTTGCCGCCATGGGAATTTGTACCGTTTTGTGCTGTCGCTTGATTCTGCGAGAGCTGCAAGGCAATTGGAAAAGAGACAAGATTAGTAAACATAGCGAGGATATAGCAACGATTAGAATTCATTCCCAAGAGTTTTTCTTTGGGAAGGAGAGAGAGGGAGGAGTAGAGAGAACATTATAATCATCGGAGAAAGAGACAGAGAGAGGACGACAAGTCTGAGATGGGTAATTAAATTTCTAGTGAGTGTAGTTTTTTTACTGCTGTCTCTCCTTAGAGAATGACATATTGTTCCCACAAATAATTCTCGGAGAGTAAAGTTACAGCTTTTGCTATATGGTATAAAATCGAATAATAATTGTAATTTAGACATCCAATATTCTTTTTTACTACGATGAACTTCACTTCATCTCATGGGCTTATACACTCCACTCAGATTCAGTTGAGCTCAAATTTAGCACAGCAACACAAGAGACTTAAGGCCCTCACAGAAGTGTCTATCTATATATATGGACATGTATTTGTTTATCTTTTTCATATCGGGCTACATCTTTATTTACCAGAAAGAAATTGTAAGATCTTTATCTGCTTCACAGTTACACCATATTATATTTAAATCTCTTGCAACAAATGCAAATACCGAGACTGATTTCATATTTACTGTCAATACTCGTAACCTCTATATAGGCTCGACAGTGTTATGATAGATTTCAAAATGGAATAAATTAGGGCAGCTCAAGAAATATTGAGCAATCCTTTGTAAGTCCATTTAAACTTTTCAAAACGAATTGAATTACTCATCTATTAATCTATTTTAGATATTTTAAGTATGTAGGGAATCTAAGCTTCACTAGATATATATCACCCTTTCTCTCTCTCTCCCTCTCTATCTGTGTAGCACTCATTCTCTGCATCTGCAGTAATCTCTTTCTTTCTCTCTGTGGCTCCTACTCTCAGCTCTCTTTATCTCTGCATTAGCAGCTCTCGTCCTTCTGCTTCTCTGTAGCTCCTGCTCTCTTTAGCTCTTCTCTCTCTATCTATTTTCAGTCTTTCTCTGTCTCTCTCCGTAGTTTCTACTCTCCTTTCCTTAATGTAGCTCCTCCTCTCACTGGCTCTCTCTCTCTGTCTTCCTCTGTAGCTCTCTCCCTCTCTCTCTCTAGTCAAATTCCTTTGCTTTCGCTTACATTTGTTTTGGTAACTGTCTCGCCTGTTGCAGTAGCGCCATTACAGTTGTCGTCGCCATGCTGTGCGTTGCCGTTGCCTATTGTACGATCCTCTGTGGGCGTGATGGGCTTGCCGCCTGTGGTGGTGGAAAAGTGGAAATATTAGCTAAAGTGAGAATTGCAGAGAAGGGCACAAATGCAGGTCTTACCACGTATCATGCTAACAATTTCATCAGCCTCTCTGGATAAATCGCCGCCCGGACGAAACGGATTATCCCAGCCGGAATCAGTGCTATAAAATAGTGTTGATTAAAATAGTGTTGCAAAATGTACACACATAACTGAGATTGGTTAAGCACCTCTGCTGTCTATCATAGGCTGGTCCCAGGCCAACGGTTGGCTGCATCGTTGCCGCCGCAATTTGCGTAAAGTCTATGTTACAATTGTAGCTACTAAACGTATTATCTAAATTATCTGAAAAACTCGTTAATGTATACTCGGCTGGCGGACAAATCTGTTGCGGTTGACTGCTTTGGTAAATTGAAACGCGCACTATCGAACGCTCCGATCTGCAATTGGCGAGAAGAAGCGAGAGAAAGAATTTGATTATTATTAAATATTATTNAATATAATTGTCAGTGATATTCGCTTGCAATGTGATTATCACTACTATTTTTGGCACTGTCATTATCATAGTCATTGTCAGAGTCATTAATATTGTCATTACCCATTTCAATCTCATTGTGACTGTCACAGCATTATTTTAGCTTAACATTGTCATTATCATTGGCATTGTCAGCATTACTATCATTATTAGAGTCGTCAAATTTCCTTTATTTCTTTGTCTTTGTCATTGTCTTTATCATTATTATTTTTCCTATGCATTTCATTGTCATTGCCATTGTCATTATTACTATCATTAAAAGTATTAATATTGACAATGTCATTGTCAAAGTGATTACTATTATCATTATTATCATCATCATCATCATCATCATCATCATCATTATCATTATCATTATCATTATCATTATCATTATCATTATCATTATCATTATCATTATCATTATCATTATCATTATCATTATCATTGTTGTTATCTTTCTTATCGTATTATTATTGTCATTATCATTAACATTATATCATTATCATTATCATATTCATCCTCATTTATATTCTTATTATCATAGCCTGATTCGTACCCTGATGTATTATTGTTGTAATCTAATATCAACTATTTTATGATCTAATCGACTCACAATCAACTCATCAGCTCAGTTTCGAATAGCTCTGCAAGCACTTGACTAACTCTGGCGCTATTCGAATCGCGACAAGTATTACAAGTTAGAAATCGAAATAATATATACTTTAGTTGGTTGGGCTGTCGCATAAATTCTGTTGCCGACTGCCCACCAATTAAATTCAATGTCAATTGAATTAAGTCATTTGCCAATTTGTGTCGCAACGCATCGCGTCAGCGATTTGAACTTTTCAATTAAATTTTTTCCAATTGAATTTCATCCACAAATGGAAATTGACATGGCAAGACCGCAAAATCTCGACAAGCTCTTTAAAATAGAAACAAATAAAAGCAAAACCCAGCGACAGCTTCAACTAGTTTTACTATTTAAGCGCGTGCCACAAATTGTCGCAATCGTCTTGAAAAGAGGCAGGAATATAGACATAAGTGAGAGAGAGCGAGAGGGAGAGAGTGTCGTTGACCCTGAACTACCTTTCCAGGAAACATGGCAATCCCTAGGGTATCTAAATGTGTTTCATTATTTCACTATTTCATTGAATTACGGCGCGACTCGAACGTGACTTCGCGCCACAAATGACAGCTCCGAGGTTAACCAACTCTTAAAAGTTAATTTAAGGCCTCGTCTCGGCCTAAACCAGTTGCGAATTACAACTTGTTTAAAAGGTGTTGCTCTTGGCATCGAAATATGCCCAACGTAGTGCATCATACAAGTTTTTATATACACAAAACACAACGAAAAGGGCGCAAACCCAAAAATCAGTTGGAAATTGTAGTAGAAACTGTTAGAGATGATCGAAGACTGAAGTTAGATGAGTGATGATCTAAGATGAAATATGATAGAAGATGGAATATGAGTGGGGAAAAGGTAAGAGCGACAGAGGTAGGCGGATTAAACAAGGGCAATAGAAGACAGATAGCGAGTGGTTGGAGAATATAGAATAGATGATATTAAATAGAGGATAGTGGATGGTGAATAAAAGGGAGAAAATGGAGATGATATACTATAGATGGTCGGGGCTAGAAAATACGGAGATAAGATAGAGAGGTAGATGAAATCGAAGAGAAGAGTATAGAGAGTAGTGAATAGATGATGCAGATAAAAGAGATTAGACAATAGAGAATAGTGAATATATGACAGAGGATAATAGGACAGAGAAGATAGAGGATTGACGATGAAAGGTGGAGGATAAAGGTTTGACGGTAGAAGATAGATGAAAGAAATGATAAAATATAGCGCACAGACAGATAGACGACATCAAATAGAATATGGGAGAGACGACGACAGAGTAATGAGAGATGAGACGCAGAAGTGATAGATAGATTGCGGCTAATAAAGTAATGACATGTGATATGAGATGATAAAAAACTTAAAGCTGTATATGACATGTTCTCTGTTGTGAATATATTTACCCGGAATTCATAGAGTATAGACTTGAGTTAATTATGAAACTAGAAAAATATAAACAAGTGATTCTCTTTTATATTTACTCTAAGGCCAGTGATTCACGATTCTAGACTTTTGTTTATACAAAATTTAAAAAATATATATCTGCATTTGCAATCTGTTATACAGTTTGATATTGAGTATTCGGACTGGGAATCGAAATTGACGTAGATCTGACAAGTTTCGCGGCGACTGCCTCTGATTTGACATTGAAAGCGAACAAGAACTTTGCATTCAGCTAATGAATTCTATTAGTTGTAAACGTAATATCGAAGGTATTATTGAATGATATCAGAGCTCGCTGCCCTGCCAGCACAACGACGCGACTACAACTAATTGATATGTGACCTCATTTCGAGAAAAGCAACTTTAAAGAGCAACAACGGCAAAGGGTAGAGCCGAAGGGACAATAAACAAGCTAAGTTATGACTCATAACTCAGCTGAGACAAAGGCGTCGCCCCTTTGCCACATATGTATACCCTATAAGTATGCAGTTGCATAATGGTACGAGAGACCCATTAAAGTCAAGCAAACCCCCGTTACATGCATGCAAATTAGCTGCGCTCCCACCGAGCGAAGCGTCGCCCCATTTTATCACAATAATTCGCAACTAGTTCAAGTCGTAAAAAATTCCCAAGAAGCTTTGTTTGATTTGCTTTCTAAAGTTGTCGTTTCTATTTTTAGCCGTTTAGCTTCTTCTACTTCTCTCTTTATTTTCTTCAGTTCGTTTCGTTTATGTTTCTTGTGGTGTTCCAGGAAACCCGAAACGAGCCGCAAAGCAATATTCTTAGCTCTATTTAACGCTGTTGCGGGCTGGTTTTTTGGCCAGATGTGATCTAAGATCTACGATCAACCAGCTACGTTCTACGTTTTGGAGTTCTTTGTGTGCGCCGCTGTCCATCAGCTTCTTCTTCGTCTACTGTTTCTTTCTGAGGTTTTGCTCAGTCACTTTAGCCTTTTGTTCATCGAAAAGAAGCTCACCAGTTGTTTCCAAACAAGTTACGCAGTTGAAGGTTAGAGATCTAGACAGCATGCTAGACTATCAGTTACCCTACACTCAAGACTTGACTATACACCAAGAGTAATTCTCTTATATCCGAGGCATATATCTTGCTATATATCTGCTCGATAGAAGCTTTGCCTCGATTTCTCTGCACATTTAGTTGTTTTCCAAAGCGAATCGATAATGTGTTTGGACTCTTGGAGATTAGGAATCATTCTATAAGCTGTCTACGCATGATAATTCACACTGTGAGGTTGTGATAAGTAGAGGTTATTTATAGAGCCGGTAAATGTTCTATAATATATGGAAATAGATTGGAATTCTTCTATATAATACAAGGTCAGCCATAACACCTATTTACAGGGTATTTGCCTCAGTTTATACATCAAATGCATTTATCTTAACTATTTTCTAGTCATTTAAATCTAATATAATATAATATATACAGTTTTGTTTTATTTTTTTTTTTTTTTGTTAACATCTAGTTGAATGAGTCAATGAGTTGAATGAGTTGAAGCAAGCAAAAATATAAACACTGATTAGAAATCATGACCATACTTATGTACGTCTGATAACGGTGCAAGATGTCGCTTGTTAATATTTGCAGCTTTTGCTGTTATATAAGTTACAGGGTATTAGACGAAGGCAAAATTAACGGGTATTTCCAGTATTCTGTATAATTTTTTATGCGAAAATAAGTTAACACTTTTGCTCTACAAATATCCTGCAAAATAGTACATTACAGGGTATTTACAATGCTCTATATGTCTTTTTAGTTGAAAATATATAACTCCTCTTTCCCATATACATTTAGGCAACTACAGGGTATTTCTAGTGCCACATAACACTAAACTCTCAGACTCACTTCAATTCATATCAATTGGAATAGCTTCTACTTTAGCGCAACATTTATTTATAGACCATTTATATTAATTACAGGGTATACGTCATAGCAATCATTGCTGAAGACTGTAGCCCAACGAATGGGAATGGAAATCGAAACGAATTGAATCTAAAACGATTTCATCAACCAGCGCCAAGTTGTTTTATCTGTTTACTTTTCAAATACACTTCATAAATTCAACGTACGAACTAATGTTCTTGTTGTTGTTGTTGGCGGCTCATTGAACATGTGAAGCTTACGTCATGTGCCGAAATTGATATGCGAATGCGACAACAACAACAGCAGCAAAAAAAACAAGTACAGCAACAACAACTGTAACAAGCAGCACGACAAAAGGAACAAGCAAAGTTACAAGCAACGAAAAACAAGTTTTTTTTTTCCCATTTTTCAAGTGCCAGCTGCTGTTCGAGCAAGACAGAGAGGGAGGGCGTTGGGGAGGAGTTGGGGGAGGAGGGAGCACACGTTAGTGGGCTGTCTGCTCATCATAAACTTCCTTTAGATTAAAAGGCAACAACAACAACAACAGGCATACCTAAGCAAAGGGGAAATAAAAACTAAAAACTTGTTGCTTTAGCGAGTGGGAGTGCGCGTGTGAGTTAGAGTGAGATAGCAGCGACTAAGTGCAAGGTGTTGGAAAGCAAATGCAGCGAACTTGAGCGCCGCTGCTCATCTTCGCTCTTCTCCTCTACTGCTTCTTCCCCTCTCCAGATGCGTTCGGCTGTTGTTGTTGTTGTTGTCGTTTAGTTCTTGCACAGCGATGAGCGCATCAAGTTGAGGCGGCAAAGAAGCGCCGCGCTGCAGAGCAGCGGCAGAGCTTTCAATTAGTTCTGGGACGACGTCACAGCACACACACACACACACACACACACACACACACACACATGCATACGCATACGCAGGCATTGAGCATTGAGAGCAGCGTAAATTAATTTAACAAATTACTGTGCCACATACATACATATGTACAGAGATGTGTGTGTGTGTGTGTGTGTTAGATTTATGTCAGTGACTGAGCCCCACCCGCGCGTAACGTTTAAAAAAAAATTTAAAAAGGAAAATGAAATTAACAGTTGAACGAAATGTTAATTGAACATTTTTGCACTTGACGTCAAACAGCAGCAGCGCCAGCAGCAGCAATTTATTTGCATGCCATTTGGAAATAAAAACAAAATACTTGTTTGTTTTACTGTATTGCATGCTATTAAAGCAGCGCTGCATTGCGGCGCCCGTACCTGCTGCTGCTGCTATTGCTGCGACGCTTCAACGTCGACGGCAACTGCGCCCGCTGTCGGCATTTTATTTTCAACAAAAATTTGTAAAACACAAAGCMCACAGAGATGCGATCACATGGCCATATTATAGAATTTATATTATAAGCAGACAAACATGTACATAAATATATATGTATATATATATATATACATATGTGTATATATAGAAATAACAACGCCGCAACGGGCACGAACACCGTTCAAACTTAAAGCTATGTCTAATTTATGTACAAACAAGGCACTATATTTTAACGCACACTTTTAAAGGCAGCAGCACACACACACACGCACATACGCACATACGTACACACTAATATGCGCTAGTCGGGCCAGTGTATTTTAATTGCGTTCACAGAGCATTAGCAGAGCTGCGCTACAGTGTGCGAGAGCGCGCAAGTGAGAGAGTGTATGTGAGCGTGGGGAGTGGCAAATGGGGTGGTGAAGTGGCGTTGGCGGGCAAACGTTGCCTGCTGTTGAGCGAGGAGAACTGAAGGGGGCGCTAGTGTGTATTATTTTTTGCGATGAACTCACTGTGCGCATCCCACCATGGACAACAACAGCAACTGGCTAAGCGTAACAGCATGAGTGTATGTGTTTGGGTGAGTGTGTGTGTGTGTGGGCATGGGGCGAGTTACACTGTATAACAATGGCGTAAATTACTTTCACATTGTTTTATTACTTATTTTGCTTTTCTATATTTATTTTGCCATGGCATTTCAATTGTGTTTTGGGCATTTATAAAAGAAAAAGGCCTGCATTTACCAACACTGCGGCGGTGGGTGTTGTGACTGCAAACAGCAACTCTCTCTCCCCCACTCTTGCTCTCTCACTCTCTCTCACACACTCTCTTACTAATACACCAACCACTTGCACTGMCTGCTGCCTAGCTGTGTAGGTGTGCATGCGTGTTTGTGTGTTTATGTGTCCCTTTTTGGCACGCACGATTGACTTTTGCAATTGTTGTTTTTCGTGTCGTTTCGTTTTTTCTTGTACTTTTAGTTGCTGTCACTTTGCATTTAGCTGGCATTTAATTTGTTAACAACTTATTCACGCACTTGACAACTTGACTTTCGGCAGCTGCTGCTGCTATTGCTGCTTCCTCTTCTTATGCTGCTGCTATGTGTTTTCAACGTTCTGCTGCTGCTTCCTCTTCCAGCGATTCTACGCGCGTTTTACTTTTGCGAACCGAACCACCGTCTGTCCATCCGAACAGTGTTGGCTGTCTGTGCCCTTTGCTCGACTCTCTCTCTCTCTCGACCGTTTCGCGCTCGGCTGCTGGGGTTGTTTGTTAAAGGCAACTCACCAAACGCGGAACACGATTTGACAATACAAATTCAATCAAGTAAACACACACACATAAACAACAGCAAAAAAACAACAAAAAATAATTAACAAAATAGGATTGAAAAATTTACAATAACAACGAGTGGCAGAAGAATACGGCGAATTCCAAGCAATGAGCGAACGAGCGCCCCGCACGTAATTCTCGTTTGTTGTTGGCTGTTTGGCGTTGTCGCTGCGTTTGCCTAGCTAACTTGCAAGCTTGCTGCTAAAAAGTAAAAGATACAATACACACACACATAGTCAAACACACACGCACACACATACGAACACAAATGTTTGCAGGAGCGCGCGTTGCTGAGCCGCACTAACTAAGAGAGTGCGCGAGAGAGCCACAGCGCGCGCTCTCCAACTGTGAAGTTCATGCGCTAAGGTTGCCACCTAACAAAGATTTTGCCTATTCCAACTGGAAATTAACTGCGATGTATTTTAAAAACAAAACACAGCTTAGTACATATAGTTTCAATAAGAAACAAAATATTGAGTAATGAAAATGAAAATGATATGATTCGGCACATTAGTAAATAGCTCCGGAAACTATTTTCGAATGTGTTCTAATTTTTTGTTATTAATTTTTAGTTCAGAATGTTATATTCAAACAAAAATAAATTCATTTTGATCTCTAAATAGTTGCTGTACCTTTTTCAATAATTTTTGACTGCTACGCAGTTAACGTAAACAAAAGAAAATCGAATTGGGAAATGCGCGCAATAATCTTTTGGCCAAACAAAAACAAACAGAAGCAAAAAGGCGGCAATTTCGGAGATTTGGCAGCTGTTTTATGGCAACAACAATAGAACCAAACCGAACTGCGCCAATTTCCCGTTTATAGTTTTTGCGTTGTTGTTGCTATTGTTGTTTTYGCAGATGCGCAATAAGATGAACAACAACAACAACATAAACGCACATTGTAATAATAACAAAAACAAACAAACAAACAATAACGCCAACGTGCCACATCTGGCAACGCTGCTAAACCAACAAACATGACATCACTTTTTTCCCCGTTGTTGTTTTTGTTTTTGTTCTTCTTTTTGCGCACTCACAAAAATGCAAAGCAATGTGAAGAGAGCGCGATTGCCGCAACGCAAGAGAGCGCTCTCTTTTACGCTCTCGCGCTCTGCTGCTCCCTCTGTTGGCGCTCTCTGCCGCCGCCACCGCTGCTGCTGATGTTATACACAATGTGAACGAAAATAAAAATAATATCATAAGAAACATAAACACGTAACTATATAAAAGGTAATCTGGAGAGCCATTGGGGAAGCTGACTGATAAATGGAAATCGGGCCAAGCCAGGGGTGCCAGATGGGTGGGTAGGAGGTGGCGGTGGGGACACCACACACGGACACAGACACGTGTATCGCAACGGGCGCAGCAGCGCGCGTCTGTTTTGTTTTCCATATATTCTTCAAATTTTTTTTTATTATTTCGGCTGTGCTTGACAGTTAATAAACAGGGTTGCCAGACGGACGGACGCGCTGATGCTGACAATTGGGAACATTGTCTGTCACTGTGCTTGTGTGTGTGTGTGCTTCTATTGTTGTCGACGCCGCCACAAAAACTATTCAGAGCGCACGTACAGCGTGCGTGTGTGTGTATGTAGGTAATAGGGCTGACTGACTGAGYGACTGACCAGCGGCACAATTACCGTTAACATTACACACACAAAATGTGACAATGGCTGACTTTTTGCTGCCGTCTCTTCTTCTCCCGCCTCCTCTTCCTGCTAGCGTGCTTGGCAAGTGTATGGGTCACCGGAAAATCAATCGACGGACTGACAGCTCACGCACACACACACACACTCAGACACGGATGCAGATGTACTTTCACAATAGCCAAAGCTTGTACGTAGATTACACACACACTGGCACTCACATACACACTCACTCTCACATGCGCAAGGTGCTCGAATTTCAAGACATTCACTTGAAAATTACCAAGGCAAGTGCTGCCAGATCAAGATAAAGAAAAAACAACAGTAGAGGGGATGGGAGAGGCGGGATGGTGGGCACTGGCCGGGGTCAGTTGGCCCAGCATCCGGGCCAACTGTGCTAATGCCCGCAGCCACACCAGCTCACCTCACCTCAAGCACAGCCCATTTTTATTTCATCTCCATCTCATTCTCATTCACATTCCTATTCTCACATTCACATTCTCATTCTCATTCTCACTCTTCAATCTTCGATCTCATAAACATAATCAATAATAACAGCAAATGGTGTTGTCTATTCTTATGCTTCGTTTGTTCTATACCCTTCGATGATGTGCGTACATCCATTCTGTTAGCCATGATGTAACGCATAGAAGAAGACGGAGCTATTAAATAGTTCTTGATCTGACTTTACGAATCTTTGAATAGATTTACTTATTTTTCTCGTTTTGTTTACTTTTCTCAATATATTCTCTCATTAGTTCTGTTTATGATTTTTTATATTTCCATTTCTTCGAATTACTTTTCATCTGTCTCTACCACTATCTCACCCCCTCTCTCCTCTCTGTTTATCTAACGTGTTTATCTATGTATCTGTTATCAATCTAACCTATATATCTACCTCTATGTCTATATCTATCCATCTATACTCCAGTTTATCTGAACTTCTCAATTTGTCTTTCTATCTAGTTTACTCTCTCCTCCTCCATCTATCTCCCTATCTATCTATCGTTCTATATTTATTAATCTTTCTCTTTCTCCCTTCCTATCTGTCTTTAGTGACTTTCGTTCTCATTCTCTCTAGTTATCTATCCATATCGTTCTTTCTCTATCTATCGCTACCTCTCTTTCCTTTTAGCCCTTGATCTCTGTCTCTTTCACTTCCTTCCCCCTCTCACCATTCCGCCACACTCATGCCAACGATCACTCTGTCAACTTATACAGGGTATTTCAGTTCTAGCACTTCAAGAAGTTAACGGTTCCATTGAGATTAAGTAGCCGTAGTTCGGCAGTTCGCCAGCTAAAGAATGTTTCCATGTAGCAAGTGGCGCTCGATGACATCACGCGGTCGCGCTTGAAGCGCACGAACCGGCAAATAAAAGCTCACACGCACACATCGTGAGAGAGACAGGTGGGGAGTGAGAAAGAGAGAGATGGAGAGAGAGCGAGTCAAGCGGGAAAGGTCACAAAAATAAGTGCGAACTCTGGCAACGCCAAGCGCTCTGTGCTATCGACAATACCGGACAACGACGAACTATCGGTGAGGCCACACGCAATGATCCAAAAATTTTAAATAACAATAACAATGCGTGGGCCAGGGGTGTCATTTTAGCTTTTTTCCCGTCAGATCTGGCTTTATTTGAAGTCCCAATGCGGGAAAAATTTGAAAACGGCGGGTTGCGGGAATTCTGGCTTTAAAAAAAATTAATTTAGCTCTATTTTAGCTTTATTTAATTTTCACGATTTATTTTGCTTTTTATCTTTCTCAACACTAAAAATCATGAATACAAGTATCGATACATGATTTTATATCATACAATCTATCGAAATCATTTCGTGGTATGAGCAACAGGTCTTCTTTGTCAACAAAAAAACACTAACGTGCACGAATTGGATGGGCACAGAAAGAAAAAATTGATTTTGGGAAAACTCCAACAAAAACCATAGCAACAACCAACAGCACATTTCCTCTNAATACGTCTCTGTTGAGAGTGGAGTGATGATTTCGACGTTCCTGATTTTAATATTTCTCTTGAAAGTGGAGATTCCTTGTCTATAGTTGAAGGAATCAAACAATTAAAAACAAATGAATAATCATAAATGAATTTAATTAAGAAAATAGTGTTTTTTAAACCCAGCTTTTATTTTGGCTTATTTTTTCTTGAATTTAGCTTCTTTTAGCTTCTTATTTTTGCCAATCTGGCTCTATTTGCTCGAAAAATTATGACAGCACTGGCGTGGGCGATTCCAGTTATCGATAAACAGCTTAACATGGGGCGAGCTTTAATTATAAAAGGCGTTGTGTGGGTGTGCCGCAGTTAATAGACAAAAGTCACACACAGACACACAGACACGCACACACACACACACACGCACACACGCGCGCACACAGACAGTCAGGCACCTAAACGGAGCCCAAAAATAAAGATGTGGGTCAACAACCACCAAATGAAGTTGACCTACATCATGCTTTAAAATGCACACACACACACACACACACACACATACCCATATATCACGACATTATGTAAGCAATGAATACGACGACAGCAGCGCAGTTTAACGGTATTCAACGGCTGCTGCTACTGCTGAGAACGTGCAACTGCAGCGCCGGCGCAGAGCAAAAAACAGTTGGATAAACTCCAATTGGAGTTGTTGGTGGTGGTACATCAAATTGGGCATGGGTAACAGCATGTAAAAGAGCGAGAGAGACAGAGCGGATGAAGAGAGCGGCTTAAGTAAACAGAGCGGCGCATCCTGTGTATGTGTGTGTGTGTGTCTTATCAGATGTAGTTCATTTGCTTCTTTTAAACTTCCAACGTAATTATCGATTTAAAAAAGTTTTAGGTTTTTATCTGTTTCTCTCTTTTGCTTTTTTGGCGGGGGGTTGTTTGCTTTTCATACAGAGTTCAATGCATGCCAATTGGACTGAGTGTGTGTGTGTGTGTGTGTGGCTTGGATTTAGGCTTAACTGTAGCTTATTTTCAAGCGAAAGCTGCCTACAAAAAAAAGACTAAATAAATAAAAATACTAAGTACCTCTCATGATCTTTTGTCTTTTAATGCCCCATAAAAGTAGAATCCCAATTTAGAGCAAATCCATTAAACAAAAGAGCACGTTCTTTTGTATTCACATGGAAAAAGCGCATTGTACAAAGCGAACTGCATACAAAATGGGTTCATTAACTTTTTGTTCAGCTGCTGTGCAAGAGATGAGCGCGTGAGGCAAGTTTCCGCTCTGTGCACTTTGCATACGACAATCTCTCTGCACTTAACGAAACTATCAACTTTTGCACGGATCATATCCTCCTTCCTGTGCCACCTAATGGTCGATTGAGCATTCATTCCCAGTTTCGTCAAGTTCCCACAACTACCATGAAGCTGATAATTCTGTCATCTTAACGAGACTACCAACTCCTGCACTCATCGAATCTCCATTTCCGTTTCCCTTTACACTCAACTCATTTCCAGCCTGGTCAAGATTTTGGTTCCCATCATCAGCTCATGGCTAATTAAACACCGTTCCGTAGCGTTTCACAAAAGTCTCTTTCATCTTTTATCTACTACGTTAAGATTCCCATCAGTGTGGAGAAACAGCTGTGACGTCACGCGTAGTCATTGCACTGGCGATCCGCATTTCTCTTGCACTAATTGCGTACTTAGTGCTCTCTTTATCGTCTTCTTCTTCTTCTTCATAATTCTTATTATTCTGTTTTATTTTCTACTCACTCTTCCTGCACCTCGATGCCGCTGTCGTCCATATTCAGTTTTGCATAGTCACCGTAGGTGGCGTAATTGCTGCCGATTAGCGGTAAATGCGTCGCCGCTGTTGCAGTTGCTGCCAGCAGCGGCTGACCAGCAGCAGCGCCGGCAGCGGCCGCAGCAGCGGCGTCGGCCGCATCGAAACCAAAGCTCGGCTCCACGTGCTCAGAGAGCGGCGTCGGCGTCTCAAACACCAAAGTCTCAAAAAAAAAGCCTTTCGAAGAGCCGAACGACACGCTGCAAGGGATCGAAAAAAAAAGAAAGAAAGAAAGAGAATGATTATAGGAAATTAATTCTCCGAGTGTTTGCTTATTGGAGGTTCTAGAAAAAGCTCTTCGGGGCACGCACCGTTTGAGTCCAACGCTTTTGGTGCCCAGCTTGCTGAGCTTGGGCTTTTTCTGATTGTGGGTGGGCGGGCGGTTGAATTTATCACTTTGATCGCTCGAGTCGGCCGCGCCGGCCGTGGTGGCCGTCTCCTCGGACAGGTCGTCTACGTCGCTGCGATTGTTGTCGTTGTTGTTGTAATTGTTATTGCTGGCCTCCAGATCGTTGTCGTTGTTGTTGCTATTGCTGCCGCTGTGATTGTTGTTGTTGCTGTTGCTGCTGCTGCTGCGGGACGGATGCGTCGCTGCATGGACCAGCGGCAGCGTCAACGTTTTTGGTGGCGACGGCGACAGCGACAGCGGCGGCGGCGTTGGCGTCGATGCGCTGCCCAGCAGACGTGTGCGCTCATCACAGCTATCTGCTGTGACAGCGGCTGTGGCGGCGGCGGAGGCAGCAGCAGAGGCAGAGACAGCACTCGACGTTGACGGCACGTTAGCAAGCATTGCGGTTAGCGGCGGCGGCGGCGGCGCAGTCGGCTTAAGCTTAACAAAAGTTTCGTTCAGTTCTGTATGCTAATTCACAGCAGAGACTGCAGCATTTTGACTGCTGTTCTTGTTGTTGTAGCCGTAAATGTTAATGTTGTTGTTGCTCGGTGCTCGGTGCTCGTGCGTGAGTTGAATGCACTCGCACGAGTTTCGTTAAGCTAACGGCGCGCCAGGCGGGCGAGGTAGTTGGGCGGTAAAAGCTTCGTTCAATGGGCAATAACAACAGCGCAGCGGAGGAGTACGAAAAAGAAGCAGTAGAACAACAGCGCAATAACAACAACAGCAACAATAGTAATAACAACAATGCGACGTTGGCAATGTTTTATTTAATTTATCGTTTGCTTTATTTCGCTTGCCGCTTGATTGAATTTAAACCGGACGCGGCGGCGGCAGCGGCGACGTTGACGCCGACGCTCAATAATAATGACGACAACGACAATTCTTGCATACGAATGCTACAGTGCGCGGTTCTGCGGCTGCGGCGACGGCAACCAGCGGCGGCAGCCGCAACTGCGCCTTTTTTTGTTTCACCTTTTTCTTTCACACACACGAACACATGCACAGAGACACGGCGATACACGAATTAATTTCCGCAATAGAATTGAATAGAATTTCCAACTGGCAGAAACACACGCACACACAGACACACAAAATATTAGCACCCAAAAACAACAAATGCAAACAAYAACAGCAACAACAACAACAAACGAAGGAGGCGGCAGGCGACTGCGCTCGATAATTGCACTTGGGCACACTTAACACGGACGAGAAGATGCGGCGGTGTTCCGACTGCAGCGGAAGCGCATTTATAACACGTTTGCGTACGCTAACAAGTTTATAAATAAATATGCATGTGCATTTAATAAATCCGTTTTGTCGACTGCCCCTGTTGCTGTTGCTGTTTATTTTGGCCCTTCTTGCGTCGCCGTGTGTATTTGCTGCGCTTCGAATTTCAGCCACTGTCGTCAGTGTGGCTGAGCTCGATTGGACAGGTAACCCGCACAATTGGCAAGTAGTTAATGAGTGGCATTTTATGACTAGAGGGCACCTGGTCACACTTTAAGCCAAACCACTTTAAACAAGTGTGTCCACATAAAGGTGAAGCTGGCAACGCGGATTGCCAATTAAATATGTGGGTCAAGTTAATTTAATACCTATTTCTTATTTTATGAACTTAGATTTGGATATAGGTCAACCAATGGAAATTATTTTAGCTTTTTAAAAATGCCGGGTTTTGAAGCAGCGGTATTTAAATAAAATGTATATCGATATCATCATTGGCATATAATGGCTGATATTTTGAGCAATCGCAAAATAAATATATTTATGAAATCTGCCAGAAAGGGACAAAATTGGCTCAGACTCAATAGTTTCTTTTAAAACTCATCTAAAATGAGCTTGTGCGTACTAACTGTTTGTTTTTCTCCTTAAATTTATTAACGATTAAATACCAAACGAAAAAAATACTATCATACTACTAGAAGCAGCACTTGGCCACTGACCAGAGAACACATAGACTAGACATGTAGAACAAACTTTTTCAACACCGAAAAAATGCGCTGAACGGACCGGACAACTTCGTATTTGGTCGGCTCGGTTTTCTTAGGCTCAAGCAGTGAAAATAAGGCAAGACAAAATCAGTGTGCTGCGACTGCTGCCACGAAATGCACGCATTACTAAATGNAGAGAGAGAGAGAGAGAGAGCATAAAGAGAGGGAGAGAGTGAGTAAGGGAAAAAGAGCGCATAGCCGTGCTTCATTTTGTAATGCGTGCATTTCGTGGCAGCAGTCGCAGCACACTGATTTTGTCTTGCCTTATTTTCACTGCTTGAGCCTCAGAAGACCCAGCCGACCAAATACGAAGTTGTCCGGTCCGTTCAGCGCATTTTTTCGGTGTTGAAAAAGTTTGTTCTACATGTCTAGTCTATGTGTTCTCTGGTCAGTGACTTGGCCTAGTTGTGCATTTTACGTATCGAATATAAAAGCTATCGTCCATATCGATATCATAAGCATTTGTCATCTGTGCAAACAGCGAACAACACAACAAATAAGCTACAGCGGCAACAGTTTAATTACAAGTATTAAAAACAAGACGCACGTACGTTCCGGCAACTGGTAAGTTATAAATTTATTTATTTAAAAAAGAAAAGAAAATAAGAAAAGCAATCAGTACAAAGCCGTTGGCGCAATACAGCTTCACAGAGCTCTGCTGTTAACATGTGTGTTTGTATTTGTGCGAGTTTGCGTGTGTATGAGTCAGCGTCGAAGCCCTATATAAAAGAAAACAACAAAATAATGCAAAGAAGAAGCAGCACAGTTTTGCGCTTTGTAAGTGTTTTACGTGGAATTCGTTAAAGCAGACCATTTGTTGGGCTGAAAAATGGGGCGCGGCAGCTCTTGCAGCACGCAGCTGTGTGTGTAAATAAAACACACACAAACACTCATGCACAAAAGTCGCGCTGTTTTTATTCCTTTTATGGGCTTTCAATTAAGCGAGGCTGAGCTGCTGTGTGCGTATGTGTGTGTATGTGTGTATGCTTCTTGTTATTCATTGAAAGCAAATGACACCGCATTGATAAGCACACATACATAGACACACATGGCGACTCACACACACACACAAACACAGTTGGGAGTCAGCCGTTGACGTTGTCATTTTTGCCATTTTGGTTGCATGACTCACACACATAACTCGCTCATACGTGTTGGTGTGTGGAAGTGTGTGTGTGCGTATCTGTTTTCTATACCCTGCATTCACAGTGAGCAGGGGTATATTGCTTGCATTTGTTGTGCACATCATATGTAATATTTGTAAATAATAATATTAATTAATATAAAAAGAAGTAATAATAAATGCAGTACGCATAAAATTGCATTCTGCTGTTTACAGCGTATGCAACAGTCGATCACCAGATAGTTTTCAATAATTTTTGCTGTTGACACAGTTTGGTTCGGCTTTGGCTTTGGCACTAGCGCCGCAGCCGCGACGCTTTGGCTATATATAGACATAAACTGAATCGATTGCAGCTAATATTGTATTCTGTATATCTTCTAGCTAACACTCACACATCACCAATTCACACACACACGCACGCTCGCACTCACACACAGCTAGAAGATGTCCTCCCGCAAGACCGCCGGACGTCGTGCAACGACAAAGAAGCGCGCCCAACGCGCCACATCGAATGTGTTCGCCATGTTCGATCAGGCACAGATCGCCGAGTTCAAGGAGGCCTTCAATATGATCGATCAGAATCGCGATGGCTTCGTGGAGAAGGAGGATCTGCACGATATGCTCGCATCGCTGGGCAAAAATCCCACCGACGAATATCTGGATGCCATGATGAACGAGGCGCCCGGCCCCATCAACTTCACCATGTTCCTGACGCTCTTCGGCGAGCGCCTGCAGGGCACCGATCCCGAGGATGTGATCAAGAATGCCTTCGGCTGCTTCGACGAGGAGAACATGGGCGTGCTGCCAGAGGATCGACTGCGCGAGCTGCTCACCACAATGGGCGATCGTTTCACAGATGAGGATGTGAGTTCATCAAGGGAAAAACTATATACTGGATATATAATCCATAATCTCTCCCTCTCTCTGTGCAGGTGGATGAGATGTACCGGGAAGCTCCCATCAAGAATGGCCTATTCGACTATCTGGAATTCACGCGCATCCTGAAGCACGGTGCCAAGGACAAGGATGAGCAATAGGCTAATTGTACTTGATTGTTTGCCAACCGTTAATCGGCTGCAATATATATGCCCATATATCTGTAGATATTTGCGCGTATATATATTCCGACTTCATGTCCAGCTGTCTACGAATCGTGTATTTTATATGGCTTAAAAGCAACTATATGATAACCTTTATGTTCATATATTATATATTCTATTTTTTTTTTACCTGTTCTGTTCTTTTGAAATTTACATTTTAACATTTATGTGCGATTTATAGCGAATGTGTGAACTGATAACACGATTTTTCCGATTTCCATAAGTATTAACTCATATATATATATTTAAAGATATACATACATATACAAACTCACACACACACACACATACACGTACTATTTGCTGAGTGAGTCCCATTAAAAAAAAAAAACAATTTGTTTTCATATCCTAACTGAATCGTTTTAATTGTCAAATGTCTTTGCCTAGCCTAGTCCCTAGCCTCATATGCGACTGTACTCGACGGCTTGCGACTCCGCCTTGCGGCGCAGCTGGTAGGCCGCCCACAGCTGGTTGAGCACGTCGGCGAAGAGCACGGTGCCAAAAAAGACGAGTATGGTGCCCAGCCAGTGGGAGAGGGTGAACGGATTGCGGAAGTAGATGATGGAGAAGAGGAGCGAGACGAACTTGCGCAGCGTCACCACGAGCGTGACTGTGAGGGAGGCGCACTCCGTGGTCAGCACGTAGACGGAGCTGATGCAGATGTACTGGGTGACCACGTTGCACAGCAGGTAGAAGAGCATCAGCGGAAAGCTGAGCGTCCAGCTCACTCCGGGCACGGGCAGGGCGACAGCCACCGCCTCGGAGCTAACGGCGATGCTCCAGTGCTGGGCGATGTTGCTGGCCATGATGAGGAACCCGGGCAGGGGCAGCATGTGTGTGTAGAAGAGCGCCTCGTTGGGATGCTTGCCGTAGCGCTTGTAGATCACCTCCTGGTAGATGCCCATGTAGGCCGTCACCAGCAGGGCGATCGTCAGCAGAGCAATGCCCACGCTCCACCAGAAGAAGTCCGAGAAGGAGGTGTCCACCTTCAGAGTGGGATGCGTGTTGTCCTTGACATCGCCGCTCGACACAAGCGTGCACAGAATAATGCCCGCCGTGATCATCGCCACGGAGCTGTACTGCCTCAGGTTGTAGCGCTTCTTCAGCAATATGATGCCCATGATCATGTTGGCCATCAGCGACCCGCTGCGGAAGATCATGTGCAGCGGCATCGGTATATTGAAGTTGAACGCATAGTTGTTGCACACGTTCGCCCCGAAGAAGAGCACCACCAGCTTCACATAGTCGCGCAGCCCGATCTTCGGCCGCACCGTGAAGAACTTCGAGGTGAAGATCAGACCCTCGAGCGCGATGAAGAGGAACTGCGAGAATGTGATCAGGTTGCCAGCGCCCGGATCGATTTTGATGATCAGCTCCAGGAAGACGACGTTGCTGCAGCAGCCCACGAAGACGAAGATCGTAGCCAGCAGAGCCTTTATATTGATCGCCATGTTGAAGTCTTAAGCAACTATTGAAAATAATATCTAGTTAGACACGAAACATTTTAACACTTCTTCAACTTCTAAGGTCTGTGAGTTAATTATAAAAATGTTTTAGGACTTTATCAATTTCTTACCTCTCAGATCTCTCAACAAACTACCAAAAAAAAAAAAAAAAAAAAAAAGCAAGAGCGTTTCAGTCGGGTGTTACCGACTGCAGAATACTCATTATCCGTTATCCGATTTGCAACGCTCTCAATTGGTATATGTATATATATATAACATATATCGTTTTAATTAATTTAGTTTTTTGAGTTTCGAGCTCTGAAACGGTAGAAAATTTTGGCCGCGTAACTGTAAAAATTGCCACGATATACCACGCCCTCAAACAGACGCAACAATTGATTCTAGGCCATCGATCGAGGAGGTTCCCAGTAGCTCAACTAACCAAATTTGGAGCTCTTAGCTCCTAAACTGCAGGTGAACGAATGCACTTCACTATGATGTTGTTTAGCTTCGTATGGATCGTTATATGTTTGAGTCCAGGTATTTATACCTAGACTCATGCATATGCATTCATCCCTTAAATCCAGTGTGCCTAGTGCTGAGTTCGTAAGGTTCTGAATTGGTCTGTTGCATATTCTTATCGTACCGCTGAGTTTCCATTAGCTATTCTTATCCTATCGTTGAGCTTGCAAGGCTCAGCGCTCGTCTCTTGCATATTCTTATCGTTGCGGGTCAGTGTAATAGCTCCTCTATTTTTATACGCTGACCCCATTAAAAATGGGAAATCAAGGTATAATGTTTTTGTGAAAATGTAGAGGCGGATCGGAAAAATTTTTACACTTTATAATTCGAGGGTATATTCGAGTACGGCGGACTGACAGCAAGAGAGACATTGCACAAACCCAATATACTCATTTCCTTTTCGTGAATGGGTATAAAGACCGAAACAATTTATCATTCAACATAAAAAAAGAAGAAGCAACTATCGTAATGTTTGATGAATCAGATAAAAAAAAAATATATATATATAGACTTTTCAGAGCAATCTGTCGCCTAGTTCTTAAATGTCTTATAAACAACTTGTCGAACTATATAAAGTGAGCACAAGTACTCTTTTCAACGTGGATTTCGGAAAAGCCTATATAGATAGGTGAGCCATAGATAAGCTTTATAAGATAGGTGAGATATGTAGATCTAATGCGATGTTTACATAGTTCCATAGATTTGGGTCGGTCATAAGCGAAAATGGAACTCTTTTATATTTGCCTGTATAGTTTGAGAATGCTTGACTTGGAGATATCATGGACCATACTTCATAAGCTTACTATACATTTATGGTATGGTTTACTCCAAAAACATTTATATAATGCACATGCATAATATATATCAAGATCTATGTTTTCCTCTTATTTGTATGGAGTCAATATACTCTTTTCTAGTTTTTTAGTGGGCATATGTTGCCATTAGGCTTTTGAAAATCTACACTTGCGGACTTATGTTTATGCATGTTATTATTTAATGATAGTCGATCCAACTCGCTTGTTTATGTCACACCCTTTGCTAAAAGCCATCTTTATATCAGGTTTCAGTAGAAGCTGAGCTTGTTTTGTTAATGAATGGAATTCTTTAATGAGTTTACTCCAATTCCTGACGTCTGTGTTTATATTGCCTATGCATCATTTCTGTTAGTTTTAACTTGAGATAGATTCACAATGCACTCAGTTTCTTGAAAGTTACGTACTCAGAGCTCTGCAATCGTAAGCCAAACTGATCTGACTGACTTTTCTCCTCAGCTCAAGAGTTATTCTCCAGGGGTATATATTGTGCTTACTCTATGTGACTGAAAGTGCGAAGACAATCAATGAAAGTTATAAGAATTCAGACTAGCTTAACGGGCACGTATTACTCAAGTAGTATATGGAGAAGATAGTATATCTATCATTCAGGCACACTGGTTCCATTGCT